TACAAAATATGAAATCGATAATAAAACAAATTCCCAGTTTGGGCTTCCAGATGCCCATATTCGCAGTAGAATTACGTCATTCAAAATTGGATGGCTCTAGGTACCGTCGTTTTATCACAACACGAGAAACATTCTTACATTTATGCAAATTCTTTATTATTTAATTTCTTCAAATACAATACAAGCCGATAATATTTGGTGGCAACAGTTTGAAAAGTGATACAGCTTTTTAAAGATTTAAACAAAAATGCCAAAACGAAAACAGTAGTCCCTTTGAACTAATACTTAATATATTTCATTTAGTTTACTTTTAATAAAATTAAAGGTACTATTCAGTTTCGAGGAATGTAAAAAATCGCCAAACTATTGTTGATGCCAATGCTGCCAAAAAAATTGTGGCAACCCTAATAATTGCGGCAAGAAAGCAAGTATAATAGTAAATAACTAAGATTGATGTTTTAATTTGGATGAAAGGTTAATTTCATATAATACTTTATTATTATTATAATTTATATGAAAAAGGCTAAACATGACTAAATTGAAGCATAAGAGTAAATAACTATTTCAAATCATTATTATAATGTATACAAAAATTGCTAAACATAACTGAATGGATGCCTGCATTGCTATTTCGCTACCGACTTATCGCTAAAGCATGATTTCATCTCGTTGGTTGTTCAAATGTAATTTTCTATAATGAATGATGCCTTTTCTTTAAAAATATTCTCGGTAAAGTGCAGAATCGCTCACTTATTTTTTCGCCACTTTTTACAAGGATAAAAACAATTGGATTTTTGTCAATTTTCTTTTACTTTTTAAGTGAAAATAGGTCGATGTGTACATAGATAATGTCAAGGGTGTGTGCAGTGCCATTTTTGTGCAATTCTAGGATTTTTTTTTAAAGTCAAAATAGGTTGATATGCACATGGATACCGAGTATGTGTAGTTCTTAAAAACGCATCAAGGAGTGAATGATTCTGCAATTTACCCGAAATTCTATTGCCAACTTTTCACCATGGGCAATAGTTAAATCCATAGGATATGGATTTAAAATCAAAAAAGTATTTAAAAATTAAACTAGCATTTCAATGGCGTCTTAAGAAATCTTAATAAACTTACGTAATCTGAAATCAGCACGTATGCTAGATTTGGCGCACTGTTAAATGGACGCATTTGCTAGATTTGGCGCTTTTGCGCATACATTTTCGCTGCAATTTTTTTTTACGACCCTCAAAACAGAATAGTACCAAATTAAATTTTTAAAAGTACGCTAACGATATCATTCGTAATTTGCTTACATCATGTTCATTTCAGAGAAGTGTTGAACCTATGCAGTCACATGACAACTGTTAAATGTGTATTGTTTTAAGATACTGAGAACTAGAACCTGAGAGAAAGACTTGAGAAAAATATTATTTATTGCCAAATAATGCAACAAGACTGTTAAGTTGTAGAGACATTAGGTATTTTTTTGGAAGCAGGAAAGACGAAAAATTAACAAAGTTTTCGCCGGGAATCGAACTGCGGACCTCTGGAATACCGGTCCAGTGTGCACACCACGAAGGCATGCCAAGAAGGTGGGAGAAATACCTTATAAAGTAACTATAGATCTGATCTGTTGATTTTACTCAAAATGCAGCTAAAATTATATATGACTGGTTAAATAAATATGAATATGATTATAGTGAAATCTGCATTGAATAAAAACAAATAGAACTTTAGTTTATCAAGCAGCAATCAAAAATAGCTAAAAAGATAGAGTGCTCGCTATGTCCAGTAAGTTACAGTTTGACAATTACTAAAAGCCATGTTACACATTCAAACATTTCCGAAGAATGAGTGTTCAGTGAAAATAGCAAACACTGCTTACCTTTTGTTCATGGGTTTAGCAGCGCAGGTTAAATCTCTGGCAAAATCTTATAGTGACGGATGTTTCATCATGTATACATTAATAATAGGAAAGCATATTTAAACACAAATCACATTTATTCAATTTCTACTAAAATAATAAGAAACGACAGCTATATTAAAGATATATACAAGCACACAAGAGTAAGAATTAAGAATAAAATAATAATAATAATAATAAAGAGATTATAGGATAGTGTTTTTGGCTGTGGTTGGCACATGCCTTGGCGTTGCTACAGTTCTAGAATGCAGATACAAAAGATAGTTCTAGAATGCAGATACAAAGATTTGTTCTAGAATACAAAAGATATATTTCAAAATGCTTAATTAACTTAAAACAGTCCCCCTTTAATCACTCATATGGGAAAATCGTGGAAATTAGATTCATCTCCCTTTTTATCTTAGGAATTTTGTTTGAGCAACAGATTAAAAAAAATACCTGCAATCATGAAATTTGTATTGCAGTATGTTATCTCGATTATTTTAGTTCAGATTCTGAACAGCTATCATTATAAGTGCAATTACCTCATTTTATTCCATCGGGAAGATTTTTCTCTTACTGATTGTTTGATTACGTCATAACTTCAATGGCCTAACCTACAATGCCACATTTGTGTAAAGTTTTTATTTTTACATTTTACCGCAATATTAGCATTTTCTGGATTTCTGTTTCAACGATTTTATATGAATTATTATCATCGGAATACGCGTGCATAATTATTTGGCTATCCTTTTTGATGAAACAATTTTCTTTTTCAAAAGTAACAAAATATCCCTTACTGGCAATTTGCTTAATGGAAAATAAATTGCTCTTTCAATCAGGAACGTAATAAAAATTGTCAATCTAATTTTCTGCAGTCCGCATTCATCTTCTTGATTAATGCAGAATCAAGAAAGAATTTTTTTTTCATCCGCTAAAATGATTTTTGCCTGCGAATCGTCATATGTCAGTTCTGTAAGCAAACTTTTACATCCTATTAGGCGACAATGCCTTATTAGCAGGTACTACTGTATTTACAAACTTTATGCACTTTTATTAAGATCAGCTTCAATGCAATATATAAAGTTTTAATCCAGCTTGCTAATAAATGGGTTATTTCAGTTATGGCAAAGTACATGAGGACTGCCTGTATGCAAGACTTTTTAGGGAAACTGGATTGTATTCACATTACATATGAAGAAAAGCAAGAAACCTCACACCTAGCCAGATTTGAAACCTGACTGAACTGCCACAGTTCAATGATCTTACTGCTGGTGGGCCACATGTTAATAAACAGGAAGAGTAATAAATACTAGAAAATTACTTAAAATTTATTTCAAACCTATATTACCATCAATTAACAAAAGTGATTATCTGCAATTTTACTATAGAATATTTGCTTTTCAATTGTTTTACTTAACAGCTACCTTCATACCTACAATTCCACTAACTTTTGTCTCTGTTAAAAAAGCACAGTATGGTAAAAGCCCTATACTCACAGATTAGAAAAATATTAAAACAAGTACATTTTTATAAATATTTATAAGCAACTGATATGGCAAAGTAGCAACATTAACTGCTTATACTATACATGCTAAGTTATGACTTTTTCTTTATATAAGGATTTTAAAAAGTACTTAATATTTAAAATTTGTTTTAGAATTATTTATACAATATTTATAAATGAAATTTAATGCTAATTAATATTAAAATATGCATTTATTCAGCTGCTGCACACAACCTAAATTTCAGCAGTAAACACTACGATTTTTAATTTCGTGTACAAAAATTAATAACAAAATTAGCAAAGTAAAGGAAGTATCGTAATTGAGAAAAACCCTGGGTATCATATTTCAACTGAAATATCCATTTTGATCATTCCCAGATTCATTTGAGCAAAATTGTTTTTGCAAGATGTCTGTATGTATGGACAAAATAAAAAACTCTTTTTCATGAGATCTGTATGTATCTCATATAACTCAAAAAACAATTAGCCATACAATGTTGAAATTTTTTATATGGGACTTCTACAAAATCTACATGTGCACTTCCTTTTTTTAATGCAATCGGCAGTACCAAACATTTATATATATGATGTCTGTATGTATGGACAAAATAAAAAGTCTTTTTCATGACATCTGTATGTATATATGTACGTATCTTGTATAACTCAAAAACAATTAGCCATACAATGTTGAAATTCTTTATATGGGACACCTAGAAAATCTAAATGTGCACTTCCTTTTTTAATGCAATCGGCAGTTTATATTACCCAAACATATATATATTACCCACCAACTTACCTGGCCTTTATTTTCACAATTGTTGGGCATAGTCATATTACAGAAGTTCATTTCCAAACTGCCTCAGACCGCCCGAGATTGCAATCTTGTTTTCTTCCCTCCCCCCAAGGTGTGCAGTTTCCCCAAATGCATTGTATCAGTTTACTGTAGATAGCTTATCCTAAGAGTTTTCTTATCTTTTGGTTGATTGTGACATTTTTGGTGTTGAGTTTTTTTTTTTGGTACAGTATGCTTTTAAGCTTTAAACAGCAATAAAAGTGCAGTTTAAAAATTTAAGGATAATATAATGGAAGTAAACAAAATCTCAGTCGCAATCACAACAAAGCCAGAAAGGCTTGTAGGTCTGACCTTCAGAATAGGTTTATATAGAACAGGCTCAAAGGCTAATGGAATCTTTGTTAGAAAATACAAAGTCATTCGAAATCTGTCAATGTCATTCGAAATCTTCACACCTATTTTATGCGTTAATGGACGGGAAGGAAAGGAAATTGCTCTGAAGCTGGAAAAATACTTCGGGCGGTTCAGTATTTTGAGGACAGAGGTTAGCAAAGGGTCTGGATTTCAAAGAGTTAAATGACAAAAATATTCAGGTTTTAAAAATATTAATTTCTGACAAATAAAATCTAACTAAATACACACTAACAGCTTATATACATAGTTAGGCTAACAATATATATCTAGCAAAATTTAATATCAGTTTATTGTTGCTCTAAAAGGAATATCTAATAGGCCATACAAGGAAGTCATGTGGTGCCCACATCAGATGTTTTAGATATATAATGCACATACTTCTTAAATTATTCACAAAATTCTTGTTTTGCTCTTAATTTTTATTCAAAAATTCAACAAAACATTAAAATGAGACAATTTTTTACATAACACAGCTTAAACATCAAAACATATTTCATTACACGTCCTATTCTCAGTCTTCAGTTACAGTCACATTTTGAGGAAAATACAAATTAAAAATCACAGTATGTAAATTCAGTACAAAACAGTAATCCATCACTTTATTAGCATGTGATTTGTTTTTAATAGCAGCTGAGTTTTTAAATAAACTGAATTCATGTAACACACAAGCAAATGAACTACACAAAATATAAGAATTTTAAGAACACTTAAGAAAATAAATGTAATATTCATTAATGAATAAAATTATGATAAAAATGTTTTTGAAAACATGTTTTACATAAAATGGATTGCATTCACAATTTTAAAATTTTGATACCAAGCTACAACGAAAAAGGAATGTAATACCATTTTTTAAATTACTGCTTAATATTTTGGAGGATGTAATAGAATATTTCCTTTAAAGCTTGAAATATAGTGAATTTTTTTAAACAGGGCATTTGATGCACAAATTCTGTTTAGTTAATACCATGTGACATATTATTTAGCTGCCATTCATGTCTCTCTTAATTCAGATAGTGATTTTCAGCAAGAACAATCAATCTTGCTTTGACTCTTCAAGTAATTATAAACAAGATGCATGATTAAAAAAGAATGATTTTAATCAGCATAAAAAAATTACCCTAAGACTGTAATTCTAAAAGCACTGCCAAGATGAATTTTGAAGCAGTACACAATTTTGACATTGAAATTGCCTAAGCAAGTTTTGACTACACATCGCACAATCACACACCAATTGAAATAGGTGTTTATTTGAATGAAAACACAACAAAATAAATATATCATTGAATGAAACTTGCCACGTACTCAGCATCACAACCTGCTGGCAAAATAAACAGCTACATTACCAGGCAAGTTTAGTTCATTTTATCCTTCCAATCTCAGTACATGCTTAATCAGGAGTCCCATAACTGAGAGAACAATACTTGCATTTCGCAATTAGTATACATATCCATATATTTTAACAGAAAAAATGCATTAGCTCAAAGAAAGGGTTCGTTGAATTTTTAACCCTGTTCAGTGAGAACCTTTTTGTGTGAGGAAATTACACTAATAGCGAAATAAACAAACTTTAGTTCTCTCACTTGTGGGACAAACAGGAGTTTCAAAGTAAAATTAATTTTTTTTCACACAATGTCATCTTGCAATAGAGAATTTAAGTTCTTGCTAAATGACTGGAAAGTGGGAAGTTGAACGTCCGTCTTAGCAAACGGCCGACGTTTTGGCAGGATCGAAGACGGAGTTTCGTCCACTGGCGACTAGTTTGTACAGAACCCTACATACGGTGGGCGTGGCAGTCAAAGACTAAGACAAAGGAGAAAAGTATTTACGTCTATCTACGATGACCATATGGGTTTGCAGGACCATTGGAGGCTTGATCAGAGACGTCTTCGGGACAGTCATCCTCTATTGCACCATCTTTAAATTTAGAAAAAATATGATAAGTTGCAAAAATTTACAGAAATATCAATACATTTTAAATTTCAAATTAGATAAATTTTTACAATTACTAGAAATCACAAAAACAATCTAATTTTGCACAAATTAATTTCACATGATAGCAAATTTTTTAATGAAAATTGTTATGGATTGTCAATAATCCAACTTTAAATTATTTAACTTACCTGTGTGCTAAGAGATTATAACATGAGGCTGCCATTTTACAACTACTGCATTACGATGTCAAAATAACATGCTGTTTGCAGTGACTTTAATAATCCACGGTTAACAGATAAATGTAAATATGCCTTATGTACATAAAAAGGTGACTAACATAATCCATCTGCAGACTATTAAAATTTATGCAGTATAATACATACGAAGCAGAAACACTAAAATTTCAAAACAACTTAATTAAATGGCATTTTATCATACTAACATACAAGAATGCTACAGCATTGCAGAAATTTGGTTTTAATTACCAGGATCTTTACAAAAAAATAAGTGATGACTTGCCCCCCCCCAAAACAACTTTCCTATCTTTGACATACTACCCCTCCCAGCGAAGAAAAAAGGCATAAAAGAGAAAGAAAAAAAGTTCAATTATATCTTTTTGTAGTGTTTAGACTATTCAACACTTTTTTCTGCATGAAAATGCACCTATGGTGACGCAAAGGACAGAAACATGACATTTATAAAACACAATGCAATACTACTCATAATACAAGTCTCCAGTTTTTTCTCATTGCATTTTTAACAATAAACACATATTACAGCAAGAAATAAAGAACTTCTTTCTATCAAATGGTAACATTTAAAAGAAGTCATAACCAGCTAATTATGAAAAAAAGGTCGGTACTTTTCCGTTTCGCCGGCACAAATCTCGCCAAGCAGACATTATTGGCGACAACACACAGTATACACATAAAAAATTTTAACAAATGTTAGTTCTAAGAATTTTTTATTTTGAAGGCATAAAAATTTTAATATGGTTTAAAAATTTTTAAAAAGCCAATTAATTTAAGAATTTACTATGCTATCATGGTTCAACATCCTGATTCTCCGGTTCATATCACGTGACCTCAAGTGATCTCATCTCATGTAAACTACACTACAAAAATATAATTATCTCAGTAATTACCTACATTAATTTCAAGTTAAATCTTAATTTGGAATACAAGTTTAAATGCAAGAATTATTTCAATTCGTACTAAGAAATTATGTAAAACCGCAGTGCTTTACTTCGCTAGTGCATTGTCATTAGAATTGATGAATTTAACCCTTGACTTTTCTATATTTTCGGCTTTGGGTCAGCAGTGTGATTGCATCCTAATTGACTTAATTACCGCAAATGGCCTTAGGGCATAAAATGGAACTATCTGTTAAAATTTCTATGTAATTGTATGCCAGTAATGAAAGAAAAATAAATCTGATAAGAAATGGCCATGACTTGCTTTGAACATGAGGCGTAAAAGGTTACCAGCTAGGACATTCCATTTGGCAACAGTTGTACCATTATTGGGGACTTTATCGCTTGTGGGGGGGGCAAAATGGAAAAGTACTGAAATGTCTTACGAAACACTGCAACTTGCAAGCAATTATCAAAAAATTTCAAGGATTTATTATATTCTACTTTTGCCATTAATGAAGAAACTTCATTCACATAATTATACATTTATGCTGGTTATTTGGATCATCAAGACTACAGCAGAACAATCTCAGGGTACAAATTTAAACCTTAGTATATTAAGCTTTCTAATATCAGAGGCATTATATCAGTTGGGAACACTAGATATTTGAAAAGTTATTATTAACTTTTATAACAATTCTGTATTAAGTTTAAAAAATCATTAAAATACAGATAACAATAACTTCACATAAATTTTAATGTTGAAGACCTTTAATAAAATATTATATCTTATTATAAAATCTCTGTGAACTTTATTTTCTAATAGCTTTACTAATTGCTACTTACTACGTGGAGCTGCCCAAAACAAATGGAAAGTGATTTATGCCTAAGCACATTAGGGCTATTTGCCTTTATGGCCTAAAAATAGCTAACGGAAACTAGCTAGTACTTATTTTACACACAAGGAGTACCTTAAAAAAGAAAAAGAAAACCATGCACCTAGCTTGTTCCACTGGAAATCAAAACCAACACAAACCTAAAAAAAGATAACACTTATTTCGTTTAATCTGGAACCACACCTATGAATTCTTCAAATAATTATTAAATTCTATAACAAGCACACAGTAATGGCACTTAAATTACACTAATGTATGACAAAAGATGATGATTACTTCTTATTATATCAGAAATTTATAATTAATGAAATAAATTTTATTTTTCATAAATTAGCAAAAGTTACAACAGAGAATAATATTCTACTATGAATCTTCAAGACATTTAGAAGTAATTCATCCTTCTTAATCTGTAAATCTTCTAGAAGCTACAAATTATATAAAAACATGTCACTCAAAAATCCCGACCTTAAGCAAGTGCAAAAATACATCCATTCCAAAAAAATAAGCAACAAACGCTAAAGAAAAGGCATGAATGCAAAAAGGGGAATTAAACCATACAAGATAGAGGCTGCATTACCTAATGTTAATAGGAAACTAAAACTAGCCTAAAGCGTAATCCCCATCACACCACAATGGCTTAAAAAAAGGCATGCTGGACCAATGTGTCAGTTCACAAGCCACAACAGTTCTGTGTAATCTGAGACAGCCAAAGCGGAAAGCATGAGTTGAAGAAACCATTTGCATGATGAAATGCGTTGGACAGCTGTCGGGATGTTGCAAGCTGGTGCAAAACAATCTGCTGTTGTGAGAGTGCTGAATGTGCATCATAGTGCCATCAATAGGCTGTGAAATTATTACCAAAGGGATTAAAACCCTGTAGTAACAGCATGACAGCTGACGTTGCATCTCTATGCTGCTACAAGAAGGCCTGTATCCTGCCAAATCGTGCTGTGTCGACCGCACAAAGGTGGAATGTATACCTGACGACCTGTGGTTTGTGTTTCTTTGTCTCTATCCTACATCATATATAGCAGTTAACTGGGCTCTTGAACATCGCTGTCAAAAGATCACTGGACCTGAATCCCATACAGCATGTTAGGGACAGCAGGTCGCAGTGGAATGCCAGGTAGCCTCCATGAGCTCTGACATGCATTATAATAAGAATAAGCCCTACTCCCAGAACAAGCAATCAACAATACTATTGCTAGCTTGCCTTGCCTTTGTCAAGCATGCACTTGAGCTAAAGGGTATATCATACCCATAATTAACGTGATGTTTCAACCGCACATTCTTCCAACCCATTTGGTCTTTGGCAATGTGATGTTGTAACACATGTAATTTTGTATGCGTTTGCTTTATTGTTAGCTATTTGGACTAGTAATGCCACACCAACCTCTCGGATCAATATCATGCACACCCATTAAATAGTTTTGTATTCCGTGTTTTGCATTTGTTGCTTATTTTTGGAGGAGGGGTGTATTAGACAAGAATAAACATATTTTTAAAAAAGATTAAAGGAAAAGGGGCATAAGAAAAGCAACCTGAAAGATACATAATTTTGCATCAAATTAACATAACATTTCTTACTTTCCGAAGAACACCCTTTTAGTTTTTTTAAAGTACATAATAATAATAATAATTAAAAAAAAAAAAATTAAAAAAATATTCACACTCAAGAGATATTTGCTTTACCTTTTTTTTTCCCCACTTACTTGGATGATTTTTCTGGGGAGGAAGTAGATGTCTTACACTACATATATTACAAGATGGATATATGAGAATTATTACACAGTACTAGTAATTTTATTTTTCTGAAAATGAAGCATGTATCAAACTTTTAAATGTATTTTGCTAAACAACATTTTTCAACTTTGTGATGCAATGTATTTTCACATACAAAGTACAAGAAAGAAAAAGTAATATCAGAAAAGGAAAAAATGATTTTACCTGCCTGGGAATTGTGGTGAGCAGTCAGTGGACGGCCTAATCCTAAAGTATTGTGTGTCTGCTCATATTCCAGAACTTCATGGTATATTAGTTCTACATGAGAATATACAAAATTCAGTTTTGCACTGAAACAGCAAACTTTACCATACATACATACATACGAATCAATTTCAATACCAAAACAAAACTGACTACATTTCTACATCAAAATAAAACTGCATTATATATACAATAACTTCTCAAGCATTCTATAACTGCATCTTTATTTCAGTTTATTTCTATGTTATGTCCAATTTTGTAACATGATCAAGCCAAGACATACTAGCAAGTAAGAAGGATATGCAGGGTACACACTAACCAAAATAGCAGTGCATAATAATATATTTACTAGTCTCTAAAACTCATTTAAATTTTTTCATATAATTCTACAAAAATTAGCACACTGACTTTTTGCACAAAACATAGTTTTATATATGCTTTTAAATTAACTGTTGGCATTCTTGCTGCAATGAATTTAAAGTACATCATGAAACTTGCATGAATTCATTTTGCCTCCAACTTAATGCAATATTCAAAAATTAATAATTATGTCCACATGTTTACAGCCAATTAAAATATGTGTGTCCACTGAATACCAAATAATTTAGTCAGGATATCTGAAAATGTTTGTATCAATTTTATTGGAATATAATCTCACTTTGGTTATGAAAAATCTATTTAAAATTGGGATGCAGCTCATGATTTGATAATATATAATGCAAGCTAAATCATAATTTTATCTAATTATTAAAAAATCATGAAGAACCTAAATCAAAAATGAATAAGAAAATACAATGTTAATAACATTGGTAATACTACTGGTACAAGTTAGGTAATAATAATTAAATAGTTTATATAATTTTTTTTACATTAAAAATTGAAGCTTTCAGATTTTATATTACACGCAAAGGGCGTGTTTTTTTTTAACGTTTTGTGTGTTACCTTTATTGATTAAATATGATGTTCCTCGCACTTAAACATAAAATTATATTCAACAGCAGTATCGCAAAATAATTTTAAAATGAACATAACTTTAGAATTTTCATACACAGTTTCGGGCACTGGAGATATATTTTCTTTTTTCCCGTACAGTGTTGCCATAGCTCGCTTTGAAAAATGGAGTTTGCTCATAAAAAAATGTAAATGTTACAAAGTATGAAATTGCTAATAAACCAAATTCCAATTAGGGCTTCCAGATGCCCATTCAGTGAGGATTATATATTAAAATTTGATGAATCTAGGTACCATTGTTTTATCACAATGCAAGAAACATACATACATTTATGCAGATTCTTCATTATTTAATTTCTTCAAACATAATATAGGGCAATAATATTTGGTGGCAACAATTTGAAAAGTGAATTGTAGACTTAAGGTTTTCGATGCAAAGTGCCAAAATGAAATTAACAGCCCTTCTGGGCTAAATACTATCATAAATTAGAATGCATCTTATTGCCCAAAAATATGGTATCAGAAAGAACTTACCATATTTAAACACCTCCTCTTTCTAAACTGTGATAATATATTACTAAAAAAATGAAAGTTACCTTTCCACTGTTCAACAGTATGTTCCCTCTCATCAACAGAATGGTCATACGGCCCAGGAGCTGGCTAAAGAAAATAAGAATTAAACATTTTAGTTGAAAATCTCTTAAGAACTTAATTTAATTCTGCATACAAAATTTAAAAATATCGAACTTAGAACTTAATTTAAATTAATTTAAAAATGTCTCTGACAAAAAGTCTGGGAAGACCTTACAAGCAAGTACAGCATTTGAAGAAGGAGGAGATAGAAGATTCCAAATTTTCTGTTTTCTAGAACTGAAACCCATACGTTTACACATAATCTATTCTTGCTTATTCATAATGTTTTATACATTTAAAGGCAGCCTTTTGTTTATTTACTGAACTTCTTACTGTATAAAGCTTATTATCAACATTCATGTTCATATAATTTTGGGTAACTAAAATGTATTAGTGAACTAAACGATTAAGTCCATATTTTAACACTTCCCAATCTTTAATATCTTCTGGTCTTTCATGGTCATGGCTAATGAAGCAGACTATATTTTAATGTAATTTGCATTCATATATATACAATGAAGAGACAAAATATTATAAACACTTACTCAATAACGCACTGCATGACCTTTGGCCTGCAAAACAGCTATAACTCACCTTGGCATGGGTGCCACATTTGGTAGATGACTAGAGAAGGTTGTAACAAACATCTAAGCAGTGGTCATGCAAAGTCGAGATATTCCAACATGGTGGTGTTTGAGTTCTGAGCTGTTGCTCTACGACATCCCAAATGTGCTCTATTGAGTTAAGATTCGGCAAGTTAAGTGTCCAGTACATTAACTGGAATTCATCTTTATTCTCCTCCAACACAATTTGAGCCTTGTGACATGAGGCACTGTCCTGCTGGAAGCCAGTTGGGAAGACAGATGGCATGTAAGACTGCAATTTATTCGCAACTATATTAAGATAGTCAGCAGCTTTCATGATCTGTTCTACCACAGCTAAGGGTCCCAGAGCCAACTCTGAGAAAATCCCTCACAGCATAATACCACCACCACCAGCCTCTGTACTGTCTGCCAAAGAAGGGGGAAGCAACTGTTCGCCTGGAAGGTGGTATACCCTGACATGAGCATTGACGTGATGAATGAGAAGTCGTGATTCCTCAGGCTAGGCAACTATCTTCCACTTATCCATGATCCAGTCTCAATGTTCCAAGGCTCACTGTAGCCTTAGCTGACAACGACAATTGGTAATAGAGGTACACGAGTTGGACATCTGCTGCACTGTCCCATATCCAACAGTGTCTGCTGAACTGTGTGTTCTGAAACGCTTGCACTCGGAACTGCATTGTGTTGGGCTGTCAGCTGAGCCCCTGTCTGGTGCAGATTTTGATGTACCAAATGGGACAGTCTCCTACTCCTTTTTCTTTGATGACGTGTGGACGTCCAACACCTTGGCATCTAGTGCTGGTTTCACAGTCATTTATCCACTTTGCATAAACATAAAAATTGACAGATAGTGAACAACACACCATACAGTTTCAGAGATACTTGTTCCGAGTCTTAAGGACCATTACAATCTGCCCTCTATCAAATTCGCTTAGATCAGCAGCTTTTCCCAATCACTCACAAAAGTGCAAGAATGATTCCTTATCTTCCCTAGCAGAAGTTAAATAGCATTCCCACTTAATCATGTGTCCTTCATGTCATCCAGATGAATTCACTTAAAAAAGTGGGAATGGTCATGTTTAAGCTTGTAAGTTGAGTAGTATATATTTTATTGATCATAATTTACTGACATCACTTTCCTTCCAACACTTGGTAGCATTAACAATGCATTTAGTATGTAAACTAATTTGTACTGTGCAGATAAAATTAGAATTGATAACTAGTCATAAATGTTGAAGAAAATACCACAGTACAAAGTCCAAGATCTGGAATCATCTGGACTCCCAATTTCATAAATACCGGGATTTTAGGTCATCAGTTTAAATCTAGTAAGATGACAATGGCAACATTGGGTTTCGTTTACTGTTTAGATCAGATAAAAGAATGCTAACACCCCCCCCCAAAAAAAAGAGCACCAGAGCCTTGCAGCAGAATTTAGGAGCGCCCAAAAATTTTAGAACTTAGGAGAGGCAATGGGCAGCAGAAGTTTTAGTATTTAGGGAGAGCTGGCTTTCCACCCGCAAATTGCACCGGGTGGCAAAATGTGTAGCGCTGGTCCTGCCTCCTCCACAACCACTCACTGAATGAAAGTGTAATTCTGGTCAATATCAATAGCATGTTAATCAATGTATTGTTATTGGTTACAGTGTGACTCCCTTGCCAGCAGGTCACATGTAGGAATTTAAGCTTTTCGGAAGAAAATAAAATTTACGGCATACCTGCTTCCAACTGTTGAGTATTATATTTTACATTCCTAGATACTGCAAGAAAGTGAGAAATTTTTTTTATTATTATGCAATTATATATTTTTTTGGCCAGTGGTTAGGAGGATGAAATTTTGGACTTTGTACAAACTAGTTTTTACAGTACAAATTATTATAGTACTGTAAAAACTAGTTTGTGCAATTCACAGTTAATACAATAAATTAGAACACAGTAGTTAACAGAAACACAAAATTGTTTTTAGTATTTATAAAAATTTTACTACTGCTTAAAAAAAGCAAACATTTTTCACCTGATGCATGCTAAACGCACAGTAAAGTACAAAATCCTCACCAAGATCTAACTAGAAATACATCAAAAGCAAAATATACATATATTTTTTACTGCACAAAAAGAAGAGGATGTTATTTATCCATCCTCAATACTGAAGTAGGTATATGATTATGTCTAAGTGTTTGAATTATGTTGTGTGTCTTTACAATTATTATTTTCTTAGAACTAATGTTTTTCTCCTTCATAAATGGGTTCATCAGTTAGCAATTTCACATATTCCAAAATGAAGGGGAAAAAAATCGCATATTTTAAGGTGTGACTTGCACACATAATCTTGCGAAAAAAGCATTACATCAATATGAAATTTTTTTATGAACAATAAAAATTAACTTTGCTTTTTCTATCCAAGTTATAAAAGCACATTATAACTGTTATTTATCTTTTATATTGGCAAAGTTTTTCTGCAGCACTGTGCATAGTAAGTTAAGGATTTTAATTTAGCATAAATTTCCAGCTTATAATATACACTTCATTACAAATGCATATGCAGCAATTCAAGAAATAAACATGAAAGGGTGTAACTCTAGTAAGACAAATATGTAACTCATAATACAGATTTAAAATACAATACAAACACTTACAGCATTTACTTCACTTTCTTCATACCATACATTAATGTAAGGATGCATTAGTGCATCTTCAACAGATATCCTCCTCTCTGGATCAATAACAAGCATTTTTGATAGTAAGTCTCGAGCTTGACTTGCTAAAAGTTGGGGGAAAAAAAACAAATTAATATAATTCTGGAACTTTTTACCCATTAATTCTGTTCTTGGAGTACACCAACACACATATAACATGCACACTATGTGTGCTTTGCACATGTTATGATTTGTGCCTACAAATTAAAAATTTATTTATTTTGCATGATGCAACTTCTTTCACTTCCTATTTCCATATTTAATACATAATAATAATATATAATCATGCTTTTAGATATACACACTCAAAAGGTCTGATGTTAATCAATGAAAATAAATTGTTAAAGCTTTACAGATTTGTGTTTGACAGTTACATGCTTTCCTTCACAACATAATGTACATATTTTTTTTTTCCAGAGAAAATTTTAGTTGACAAAACAGGATTGCTTGTAATATTTAGATAAAATATTTATCACATACAAAATTTTAAGAAAGAATAACGAAATTTTTAACAAGTTACTATGTTCTTAAAAATGTATAAATGAGGGTTCATTAAATACTATTTTTATTTTACTCCATACACATACAAAATTATTATTACTTATACAAATACAAAATTATTACTTACTACATAGGACACACATGTGTTAGTTTTTACATTTGGGTGAAAAAGATGATTAAAAAAAAAACCTTGCCAGATGTTGTGTAAGAATATAATACTAATCGAGTCATATTGGTTTAAAAATGTTTTACTTATCCTTATATCTTGACAGAAAAGATAGGATATTAAAGTTAATAGTAATGAAAAAAGAAATGCATTGCTGGAAGTTTTCTTTATAGATCTTACAAGTTCTTGCTGTGTCTGCCTTTCAAAACAAGATAAGTTTTATCTTGTAATTCATTAGGGTTCATGCTCATTCCACTTCTTTCCAATTCCTCTCTATTCTATTATATCTTCAAGAAAATAGATCTACGGTTCCATCTCATCTTTGCTTCTCTTAATGACGTTTTCAAAAGAATGCCTATACTTGCTAATGGTGCAGGACATCCTGTTTAGTTGCCTCAATTAATAGACTTAAAATACATAATTTCTTCTTCCAGCTGACCTAGATTAAAGACTAAGCATTTATGTTGCTCCTTATCCTTACTCAATTGAATTGAAACAAACACGGCTACATTTCTAGTGAATCAACATCTCCCTGATTTTTCAATTTGTTGTGAACAACTAAGATAACTAGATATTATTTTAATCTCTGTTGATGAAGCTCAAGCTGTACTTAACATTTCAATAACATCTTGTCCCCCACTATGATTCTTTCACAAGAGCTACAGATTTCCACCCACTACTTAAGTGCGGTCACTGACTCAGCTGCCAAAGGATTCACAGAAAGGTGGAGCACAAATACGAGGTAGGATTCAAAAGTTACCGGACTGAGTCTATAAAGTAAAAAATATTATGAATTAAACTGCAGAAACACATCCTCCTTTGAAATAAGACCCTTGTTCAACAACACACTTTCGCCAGCGCCTGTAATAGTTAATCGAAGCATGTCTAGATTTCATTTTTGACCATGCCCTTTAATTCAGCCCGTAGTGCACATTTAACTTCATCTGAAGATTGAAATAGATGACCCTGCAAGTGTCTTGCCAGTTCAAGAAATAGGAGGAAATCGCAGGGTGCGAGATCAGGTAAGCAAGGACAATGAGGCAAAACAGTTGTTTTCGTTTTTGCAAGAAAGTCGTTGACGAGTAGCGATCGGTGAGCAGGAGCGTGTCATGCAACAGCATCCACGACTGCTCAACCCACATTTTTGGTCTCTTTTTCCGGATTGACTCATACAAATGATACAGGATTTCGACGTAGAATTCTTTGTTCACAGTGTGTTCTTCAGGGATAAATTCCAGATGTACAATGCCCTGGATATTGAAGAATACCTCTAGCATGACCCTTTCCTTTAGGCCGATCTTGGTGGAATTTCTGCTTCCGTGAAGATTGTGGCGATTTCCACATTGCCGATGCTCTCTTGGTTTGTGGGTCATACAAAAAACACCATTTTTTTGTCTCCAGTAACAATTCTGCCACGTAGGGAAGGATCTTTGTCAACAGCCGAGATTAAGGTCTCCCGCCATTTCCATTCAAATTCCCTTTTGGTCTACGTTTAACATGCGGGGAACAATGCGTTGACACACCCTATGCATGTTAAGATCCTTAGTCAATGTCCGCTGACATGTAGCCTCTGATATCCCAACTAATTCTGATATTTGGCAAATTGTTTACTGCCTGTTCGCACGTGCCTTGCAAACACCTTTTAGATGTTTTCATTGGTGAGGTCATCGGACGGCCACAGCGTTCGTCGTCTTCAGCACTTTGCCTGCCTTCTCTGAAATGACGATGCCGCTCAAAAGCTTGCGCTCTCGATATCATTTCATTTCCGTACACATGCTTCAACATTTCAAAATTCTCCACAACACTTTTTCTCAAGCGAACACAAAATTCGATATTGATTCTTAGCTCAACTGATGGCATTTCTTTCTATCGCGGTTACTAAATACACCTGCCTACAAAAAACGCTGTTGCCGCGAGTTTTCGACCACATGATTTGGGACAAATCACTTTTAGAAACGGGGGAGAATGCAGTAACACAAAAACGCTCTCGTAGTCACACTATTGCAAAAAATTTTTACGTTATAGACTCAGTCAGGGAACTTTTCAATCCTACAACATATAAAGTTCAATGTAATACTGAAGAAAACAATGTCTACGTATTTTTATGTTTGTTCCTTTTCAATTGCAGGTAACATTTTTTACTTCCTTGTACGAAGTAAAAAGGAAGTATTGTAATCGCGAAAAGTTTCAGGCAGCATATTTCAACAAAAATATCCATTTTGACCGCTATCGAATGCATTTAACGATTGTTTTTGCTCATATCTGTACGTAGGACAGAATAAAATACGCTTTTTTTCCTTCAAAAAATTATAACGCTTTAAAATTAATTCTGAAGAGAATTTTTTTCTGTACGACTGTACGTCGTGTACGTGTATGTACATACGTATCTCGCATAACTCAAAAACGAGTAGCCTAGAACGTTGAAATTTTTGTAAAGGACTGCTATAACATTGTGTGCACCTGTATTTTGTTGCAATCGGCAGCACCAACGTATATAAATATATTTATATATATATCCACTCTATTAACCAGGTCAGGGATCTCAGTTTCTTTACTCTTATATGTTTTTAAATTGTACTTTTTTGCTTTAAAAATGATTGAATTATGTTGTTTATCTTCCGGTTAAGATTTATGCTTTAGTAAATCTGTTGCAATATTTTTAGAATTATCAGCAATTTAAAGTTGTTTAATTCCCGCTAAGCCTGTTTTAATTGCGGCCATCGATGTTTACATTTGAAACAGGAGACTAGGATTGTGTTGCCAATCTAGAGAAACTTAGCTTCGCAACAACAAAGATAACACATTCATTTTTTGATGCCAATTAAATCATGCTTAATTCTTTCTGGAATTTTTTTGAGGAAATAAGCGTTTGAGATTTACTTCGTAATTTTTAATATAGATATTTTGAGTTTTTATGTATTTTTGCCTTCTTGCGAAGTGAGAACTGAATTAATTAAATGAGAAATACTCAATCGTCTGTGAAAAACTGTTTGTTTTGTTTTGTTTGCTTAATTTTTTTAATACATAGTTCTAGCTTTATTATAGTATTTGAATAGAACATGTGGCAACAATTAGATATTCTTTAAATGATATACATTTTGTGCATTCTAAGTTATAATATGAATGAAATATAATATTGTTAAGTAAACCTAGCGCCAAAGTGTTGATATGGTAAACAAAGTGAATTTTAAGGAATGCATTTATTCTATTGTGGTTTATGCACTTTTGGTGAAGTAGGTTCAATTCAATCTAATAGGTTTAAATAAAATGCAAGAAAAAATGCGTATAATTTAATATTCTGTACAAGGAAGTCGTGGTGTACACATCAGATTTTTATATTTTGCTGATAAAATAAAAGCTACAGAATGCACAGATAGCAATGCTTGTCTATATCATGTTTTAAATAATTTTATGCATACTTTACAAATATTTTTAATGCCACTTTCAAGAATGGTCCAAGCTTTACCAGATTCAACAATGCTACAATTATCCTTTTGGATTTTATAGAAAGCAATTGAAAACGGTTTATACAAAAAAAGTAAGACGTCTTCTATATTTCGTTTTAATGCCACATTAAGAACTTTTGGTTGAATATTCTTGTCTAATGCATATAAATTCTCTTTCACAATTTGCATGAAAACTGTTCAGTTCCTTATGCAGCTTTGAAGGAAGTCGCATACTCATGTTCCTATGGCATATTAAACCAGGTCTACAGCAATAATTAAATTCGGCTTCAGCAAGCTGATGATTTCAAAAATATTTTATGACTTTAATATGCTCAGTATCATTTGATATCTCAACAACATGGGATTTTGGATCTGTCTAAGACTTGTATTTAAGCAGCATTTATTAGCTAAATTTGTATAATTACTTATTTCAGTCTCTATTTTCATAAACATACACTTATTAAGATGGCATTTACACTGATAAAGAATATAAAAAAGCAAAATATCTTAAAATATAAGCTAATATGTGACAAAACAATCTCACAAATAGAGCCAGTCATGCCACTCTACATGGTCATATCTTTATAAATAAATGAAGTATAAGTGCTGAATAAATAGAGTGAGTTTTCCATTTCTTTTTTTCATTTTTGCATACTTGTTGCATAACCAGTTATAAAACTGCAAATTTTACATTTAAATTTGTTTTCCAACTTTTTTTAATGGATATAAGAGCAAAGATACGAACGAGTATGTAAGTTTTCACTTTAACGTGATGTTAATGATGAATCAATAATTTGAACGAAATGTGCTGTTCTATCTATTGTACGAACACGAAACACATATGCAGATTATTGATTGAATTTGCATATTATAACCAACTCCCTTAACCAGGAGGAATTCAGCCCTGGTGGGGATTTCATAATTTGAGGAGGAAATGTAGTAAAACTTTTATCTGTGCATTAAGAATTTCGATTTTTTATGAATAGAAAAAATTACTTTTATTTACATTTTTCAAGTTTTGATATTTACTAATACTGCATTTCTCTATTTATTCTTCACATGTATCATCTAATAATTAACCACTTATGCCATATTTAGCTGAGGGCTTGTATTCAGGATGCACAAATAAAGGTTTTCTATCCTAAAAATGTTGCATTTCTAGCATAAAAAAATTACATATTTACTGATCTATTTTAGACTTTTGAGAAGATGGTGTTTTCAGCAAACTTACTTGGATAAATTCATTATTAATTTTGAATTAATGCACTCATCATTAGATACACTTGACCGGATGGACACGTTAGGCCCATATCACACGGCACTTGTTTCACACAATTTTTCTACCTGGTTTACTTTTGATAGAAAGACGTGCGACTTTTTCCTTTCCAAAAAAATTGCAAGTTGTTCGTTTTCAACCAATCAGCTATCAACTTGTTTTTAATGGGGAACCAGTTTTCCCTGTGTTAACCCGGGGGGGGGGGGGGGGGGCAAGAGCGATGCGCAGTGTAGGGAGAAAGTTATGCCACATACGCATGACGTCATGTGGGTGACAGCGTTAGTTCTTGGCGTTTGTTTACTTTCGTTGCATCAACAGTTTGATTTTGATTTGTGTTGTTAATTTGCTATTATACCTAGGCGGAAGTGGCAAATTGTGCTATAGCGTTGTGTCAGAATTATACACGTTAATACGTTTTTTGGCGGAAAACACTCTTTACAACCAGATAAAAAATTTCTTAAAAGTATTTTAAGAAACAACCTGATGAAAATACATTAGTAATTAAATAACTATTTTTTAATGAATTTATGTAGTTTTCATACATAACTGTGATATAATTTTACATTTATTTTTCATTTTACTGCTATTTTACATTTAAATTGAAAAATTTCTCATTTTAAATCATCTTTTATCATAATCTTCATTTTGTGTATGAGACTTACATCGTAGTGAGATATTTAAACTCAGTGTCATGTTTACCAATACTGAGTACCTGAATGATTAGTTAATAAATTCGTGTATCCAACTTCATTCACATGTTTTGGTTACTTTCTTTACATCACAAACGTAATTCTACGTATTGAAGCAGCGTCTAGGTTAAGCTTTGCGAACTAAGTAAACTGATACATGCCTCACCGTGAGGAAAGAACAATTTCTCAATCACACTATGATGCAAACATCGAATGAGTGAGTGACATATTTCTTTCAGTGCTTTTTAACTGATGCATACAGGAATGTGTGAGGTAATTTAATTGATATAACTTACACATGCTTGAACCTGAAGGAAAACAAATCTGTGTATAATGCTAGAACACAAATAGCGAAAGAGGAAGTAAGATATTCTGTTCAGTGTTATTTAACTGCTGCATATGTTTTAATTTTGATTCCATATAACTTGTTTTTAATTATAAGAGAAAGAAAAATAATTCAATATTGAACACATATTTCGAGTATAACAAAAGTATTTTAAGACACAACCTGATAAAATACATTAGTAATTAAAAATATTTAATTTGTGTACAGGCTGAATTGAAATTAAGATGTGGTAGTGTACTTAACTATGGCAAAACACACTAGGGCTATCTGCGCAATAGGTGTGATGCCTTCGTGGAGGACTTTCTCAGGGAAACTGGCTCGTATACACGTTACACATGAGGAAAACTACAAAAACGCCAAGCCGTTCGCGGGATTCGGACCGAACTACCACTGTTCAGCGACTTTACTGCTCGGCTGCTGGTGGGCCAAAACTAAGATGTAGGGCAAGTTTATTATTATTATTGTGCGTATATGTGTAAGAAAATGTATTTTAATTGTTCCATTTTTAATGTATGGAAGGAAGAATAGGATGCCAATATCGAAGATTATTTACTATAGCAAATAATCACGTCAGGATAAATGTTATATAGAAATCTTGGGAGTGTAAGGGATTATAAGAGTACTTTTAGATTATACTGAAAATATCTGCACTTCTGCTAAAATCTGAAGTGAATCAGTATGAACGTGACTTTTCACTTTAAAAAGAATGCGATAAGTATACTATTTAAAAGTATAATGACGGATATTAAGAATTTGTAGAATTTTATGGTATTTAAATATGAATTTGTTAAGTCAAATCTTTTTATATATATTTTTTGCTTGAGATATGCAATTTAAAAAACTGAAAATCACGATCATATATTTCTCATGGAATGTCAAAGTTCATTTGTATTAAAAAAAGTGCATGAGCAATGAAAATAAATAATTTTTTGATTATGTTTTTACCATGGTCTTAGCAGTTATGCCATCATGTGTTCTGTTCAACAAGATTTATTTAGTGCAAACAATACTACGAAAAAATATTGAAAAATGCCTTGTTTTACAATATTTATTTCCCTTAATTAACTTAAATATCATTTTTCATTTTCTAATGCTTTCCTTTACGAAAAGAATTTAATGTTTACAATTATTTTCAGCATTCGTACGAATTCTGTGCATAAAATAAACATTTTCTTTAACAAAATACTTAATCGGAAAGTATATACCCGGAATTTTCCGGTTTTGTATCTACCACATACAAAATGATCATTTTGCTTTAGTTTACATTTTTTCCATTACCAAAATCATGTAGCAGACACGTTGGCCGATGATGCGTCTTGTCTCCCGGGTGACGTCACTACCAGCAACCAATGGCACGCTTTTTTTGTTCCTGGCCTAACCTTAGTATATTAAAGAACCTTGGTGTTAACCCCAAAGCGATCTATGGTGATTGGCTGTTCTGACGGAGTAGAAAAATTGTTCCAAACAGTTTTCTTCCGAAACAAACTGATGTGTGATAGCATCCTTAGGCCCATGTCACATGCCATTTGTTTCACACGAACAATTGTTTCGGACAATTTTTCTACCTGGTTTACTATTGAAAGAAAGACGTGAGACTTTTTCCTTCCTTTCCGAAAAAAACTGCAAGTTATTCGTTTTTAACCAATCAGCTATCAGCTTGTTTGTAATTTGGTGAACCAGTTTCCCCTGTGTTAACCCCAAAGCTATCTATGGTGATTGGCTGTTGTGACAAAGCAGAAAAATTGTTCGAAACAGTTGTTCTTCCAAAACAAACCGACGTGTGATAGCAGCCTTAGTGACACATTTCTTGCATCGTACTAACATGACTTCTTTAAAATATTTTAGATAATTTAGCTTTTCTTCCTTCCATCCTTTTCTTTTTATTTTATTTTAATGAAGATTCTTTAAAAGCATTACAGATTATCTCCTATTTTGATTTTGACACATTTTCTTTCATTAAAAAAAAAAGAAAAGAATATTTGACGTAAAGTGATGATTTTTCATAAAAATCCACTGATTAAAATCATCACCCTATCATGGATATATAAAATCTATAAATATTTTTGCAGCTTTCTCCTTCCGCAAAGTTTCTCTATGCTATGCTATCTCTTTTCAAAGTAATATAGTGTTGCAGCAAAATCACTAAAATTATCATTTATTTTCTATACTTAAAATTTACTAATTTTGAAACTGTTACCGTGAATTAAAAATTCACTATATACAGAATAAAATAATACACAAAATGTTGCTGAAATCATTGCTCTGTATATTGCAATATATTTTGCGGTAATTGACAAAATAACAGATAATTTTCTCAGTAAAACATAAATTTTATTTTTTAGTTTATGGAGATAGATAATTTGAATACAGTCTTTTAGTTAATTTTTCATGCATCTACTCACAGGTAAAACTTCAGAATTCTAATTTTAAACAATTTCTTACGTTGCTGAGTAATGGTTACATCATACAAATATGGCGTTGCCACTTCAATAATAAATATAGTTATTTGTTAAATAACAAGATATTACAATATCAAATACAACAAAACAGGAAGAAAAATTAAAGAGGGGAAAATATACTGGCATACCTTTTAGACGACTATGTTCAGAACTGTCAGCAGGGAAAAGAACATCTGGAAAGAGCCGCTCAAAGGAATACCCAGCATATCTTGGCCTATTCTCTACGTAATTACGAACAGTAGGCTGCAACCTTCTCATGAATTCTTGCGAAGGAGTTCCAAGCTGCTCGATAATTTTATTCCACTGATCGATATCTGAATTTAACGTTAAGGACTAAAACATCCAATGTAAATTTTCTGTGCATGAACAGAGCACATGTGAAATCAACTATAAGATAATGATGTGTATTGTCTATCTAGAAATGTTAAAAATACTGCTAAACAAATTCAATTTTAACCTTTTAAAAGTGTCTTTCAGGTTTTAGCAGCCAAATGCACTGACTGAAAAAAAAAAAAAATCCTCCAACAACAAAAAAAAAAAAATTAATGTACAGTATTGAAATTTCAACAATACATTAATATAAGTAATACATTTAATGGATTAAATTTTCAGGATCACAGGTTAATGCAAGCACGAGAAGAGTCATTTCAAAGGTGAAATGCTGGTACAATAATAACCTGTGTAACCAGCAGAATTTTGAATGCAAGCGTGCAAATGTGCATGCATTGTGTTGGACAGGTCCGGATGCCAGTTTGTGGGATGGAGTTCTATGCCTTTGTGGGACGGTTAACGCTGGTTTTGAATGACCCTAAAGTTAGCAACCAATGATGTCTCTCTCATATTTGCTCGACTGGAGAAAGATCTGGTGATTTAGCAGGCCAAGGCAACTTGTCAACACTCTGTACAGCATGTTGTACAACATCTCTTAAAGGATATATTACAATAGCGATATGAGGGTGAATGTTATCCTGTTTGAAAACACCCCCTTGAAGGTTTTTTGTTAATGGCAGCAGAACATGTTGAATCACCAGACTGATGTACAATTTTAAGTGCATGGGATAACCACAAGAGTGCTCCTGCTGTCCAAGTTGGTTGCAGGCGCTCGCCTGCCCTCCTTCTAACCAACAAACGGACATCATTGGCACCACAGAAGGAGCTTTCATCAGAAAACATAACGGATCTCCACTCCGTCCTCATAATGAGCTCTAGCTTGACACCACTGTTCACCCCAAATGGCAGTGGTTTGAAGTGAGTAGAATGGATGCTACAGGGCATCTGGCTAGGAGCTGTGCTGTCCTTCAAGCCACCTATTTGTAACAGTCCGTCGTGTCACTGTGGTGCCAACTATAGCTCGAATTTCTGCTGCAGACCTAATACAATGAGTCCCAGCCATACGCTGAACACAGTGGTCTTCCCTGTTACTAGTGTCGTGTGGCTGCTCAGAACCAAGTCTTCTTCAGCCAGTGCTGCTAACAATCATGCAAAATGGATACATTCCTGCCAAGTCTTTTTGGAATACAGCAAAAAGAAAGCCACCTCCTCGTAGCTCTATTACATGACCTCATTCAAACTCAGTGTGAAAAACTGCTTCTTTGTTCCTTAAAGGCATTCTTGACTAACTCACAACGTCAAATCTCAACAATAAAAAAAACATTCATGAACTTTACAGCATGCATTTAGAGCAAACTTGATTTGCATGTTCATAGTAGTACTACAAGCGCCACACTTATGTGCCAAATGCGAAATCTGAATAGACATCTTTCAGATGTATAAACATGCCTAGCAAATTTCATTTATTTAGCACAATTCCTTAGTATTGGAAATTTTTCTTTCCATCAGTATAGCTGAACACTGATTTTTCAATTTAAAAAAAAGTGTGGCAAATCAAAGGAAAAACTATGGGTTCAAATGACCAGAAAATCAGTCTTTAAACATTTGGTCAACAGAATAGGTTGGCTACTCAACAAAATCTTTGTCATCAGATTCCACAGCACACTGGTTTATCAGATAATCTGGTGATGAATGAGGCCTCTCTTGCTTACATAAAATCTACAAAAAAAATCTACTGGGCATGAGTCACAGATACTAATAATTAATGCAGTAGTTTGATTTCAAATAACATGTTTTTAGTACATGCAGACATATGCACTTACTAAAAAATGCACAAAAACTAGCGAACATACAGATAAGCCCATCAATAATGAAGATACAATAAAACATCAACACCAAATAATGATACTTACAGACTAACTATTCAAATCATTTAAAAAACTATCAGCATGTGAAATATTATAAAGATGTCAGCTGCTCTCTGCAGTTCTACCTTTCAAACCTGGAACACCTTTGAACATATTTATATGAATAACCATAATGCTCATTAACTTATATTTGACTCACACTTAGCAGCAATATAAAGCAGAGCCCATCCTGCATCGAGGAGGGGGGTGGATAGTTGCAAGGATAGGCATCTTAATATCTTCCATGAATGGACTGTGTATATTAATTTGGATTTCCTTGCATGTGTTTTATAAGAAATGTAGAGAACTTTAATGAATGATATAATTGAGTTTTCACTAAATTTAACAAAACCGATTTTTAAATTATGATTTCTTTTAGAACCAGTATATTAAAAATATATTACAAAGATGCACTTGCCTTTTAAAAAAATCTACATCAGATCAGTCAAAGGCAACAAAAATTTTAACATACCAATACAGTACGCAGCTTCTTCCATAAATGATATACAGTATTTATACATTACTGTTTGAAGATAAATATTTTACAGTAAAAGGATACGATCAGTTCCTGGGAATAAAACTGTGCCTCTTATCATTTCACCCATAATACAACCCACTGACCAGATATCCACTGCAAGAAAATAAGTATTATTACCTTGATGTAAAATCATTTTTACAATATGAAGATATTTTATTTTATTCAAAACTATAAAGCAAAATTTCTTCACCTTCCATCAGAAATCTTAAAGAAATTTAAACTGCAGGCCTACATTATGACAATGTTAATTTTATGTTATGTCAATTTATGTTGCTCATTTCTCTTCTTCTAATTACTTCTAAGCATTTTATTATTATAAAATGCATTATATACATTTCTAACATTGGAAACACTGAAGGAGATGTAAACAGTTTCTTCTTAAATATGACGAATGGATTTTAAAAACAGTCAACATACTTAATCTGACAAAAAAATTTTCACACAACATAGTAAGTTTATGCTGTTCAGCATATCGCCCATATTTATAACTTTTAAATAGAAAGAACTGGATGCCATCAGCATAGCAATTTTCGCTATGTTAGCATATAAGTGCCCTAATGATCAGGAAATACTTTTTTCTGTAAAAATGTTTTTTTAAAAACCCCTAAATGATTAATCAGCTCTTATAGAAATCTATTATGAAAGAAAATTCTGAAACCATAATTCTGGAAGCAGCAGTCTCTATTAACTCTTCACAGCTCACAAAACTGCAATAAAAGGCTTGCATAATAAGAAGTTGAGCATGTCACGTGTTCAGTGGTGTGATGCTAATTATTACCATGAAAATCTTTGGCATTCTACTGTTAACATAACAGTATCAAAATCATTCACTAAAACATCATTACGTTCTAAAAAAAAAAAAAAAAAAAAAAAAAAAAAAAAAAAAAAAAAAAAAAAAAAAAAAACTATTTTAAGCAAGAATTTTTCATTTTTATACCTATACAGTAAAAGTCCAGAAATCCGCAAAGCTTGGGACCAGAGGTTGTGCGGATTTTAGGATTTCAGGACAGAAAAGGTAAATCATAATATTCAGACTAAAAGTGCAACATAAATAAGGCGTATTAGATACATTTAATTAAATTATTATATACATTATTACAATAATTTTATTATATGCATTAAATTATTATTACATATATAAATTGATTATATTATTCATTTACATTAGTGATCACGGGGATTTAAAAGCATTAGGGATGTATTCAGTAGTCATATAAAAATAAGATATATTATCAAGCATAAATATTGAATTTTTTTTTTTACGTTTCAAACATTTTCTGATGGAGGTTTGTTTTAAAACTTTAGGGTGCTCCAGAGTACCTTTTTTTTTTTTTTTTTTAAAGTTTTTTTTATTGTAAATTATACAGAGTCGTAATGTCTTGCTCTATGACACACCTCTGTTGTTCTAAAAATTTTAGTTATTTTTTCCCATGTTCCAGACTTTCATTAAAAGACATTTTCTCACTTCTATCAGATTCACTATCTGTGTTGGTGTCGGAACTGTCTTCTTGCTGTGGCGAGTTCAAAACAGAGCCAATGATTTCATCATCAGTATGATATGCCAGTGTAGGCTTATCTGAACACATCATAAATGATGTGTTCAGATTCATTCAACAATATCTTCTTCTTGCAAAGCCTCCTCATTTATATTTTCTTTTGAATATAAAAGAAATTCTCTTGCTTTAACCCTTGCTGCACTAACACTAAAACCAGAAAAATCACTATCATCCCTCTCAGTTTCAATAAACAGAGAAGATGGCCATACATTATGCCAGGCACTTACTAATGTTGTTTGGGAAACAAAATTTCATGATTCAGCTAACAAATAAATGCAGTCTTTGAAGATGAATTTTTTTTTATAATTACAAAGTGGAAAATAATGGTCACTTGAAAGAATTTTTTTCAGGAACTCTGATTTATAGTGGCATTTAATACTATGTATTATGCCCTGGTCCATTGGTTGGATCAATGACGTAGTATTCGGGGGCAAGAAAAGGGGCACTGACATTATCACATGTTAAAAATGGTTACTAAAATCTTGCAATTTGATGGTAACCCCACACTGTTACAATGCCTTCTAGCCTCTTTAATGAAATGCTCCATGAACCATTCAGTCATCCTGTAATATATTTTTTAAAAATTATTCACATGATTTAAATATCACTCTCTCAGCTCTACTATTTATAATTTCTTGGCTTTACACTTAGATTTCTGTTTAGACCGTTTCAAGATATATTATTTTAAAACTTTACTTGATATTTTTTTTAAAGCTTTCATTATAACTGGTACCAGGAACTGACATTTCACTTAGTTTTAACACAATGCAATCCGTTATCGCAACATTTTCAATTTTGTTTTAATGGCGGTAGCAGAAGAGAACGAGCAATCTTCTTTACAATGTTGGAATATGAATTATGCCAAAGAAAGCAAAGGCTGTTTGCCTAAGGATAGGAATGCCTCCACAGAGTAGTCTTTCAGGAAAACAGTGTATTTACATTACACATGAGGGCATATTACAACAGCACAGTGCAACCAAAAACTAATTCAGGAACATCAGCGTTTCATGATTCACACCACTGGTAAATTTTTTAATGATATCAGCAACAAAATGAAAGTAATAATGGTTCTATTTGATTATCTGCCCCCTCATTAAAAGGCTGCAAAAGAGTATTTATGAGGCAACCCAGGTATGCAAGTAGCATCTTTTCAGATGACTTTCCTTTCTTTATACATTTCTGGCAGTATGACTGCACATTATGATTTCTTCTACGAGAATTTCAGAATAGCAGTGCACTTTCTACTGCAGTTTCATTGTCTTCTGCAAAATCTTGGACTTAGCTTTCAGCACACATACAGAGTAATATGGCTCACTTAAAGCCATTATGTTCCCTTTTCTCCCCTCTAATTTTGGTGTCCAGACTTTGCAATTACCATTTTTTTTAATGAAAACAGATTACTGTGTGCATGGGCAGAACAACAGCATGAATGACCAAGAAGTGTGCATATCTTAATAGGAAATGTAGAATGCAAAATTTAGGTCACAATGGAAGCATCATTGAAATACATCTAAAATACCCAAATAGACATTTGTCTCCACAGTTTGCAACGAGTTTACAACTTTAGTGAGAATGTGGAAAATCTGAGAGTAACCCTTAATTGAATCAACAAACTGAAAGTAATAATCATATAAATATCAAATACATAACACTTACTTTTTGGAACTTATATAATTGCCCTTAAAAAATTATTATTCTTTTCCCTTATAATGCAAATACTGTGATATTTTCAGATCATTATGTAATCCCCAGCAATGGGTAATGGGGCCTTAGATCTCAAGTTGAGAATCATGGTGAAAACAAAAATTGCACATTTCACTTATATAACAAAATCTCACTCCCAAATTCAATTCCAAACAGGATGAAAATTTAAAACATATATTCTTTTAAGTTTAAAAGAATAATTTCAGCATTTTTCACATACTTGACATATTATGTTTTTATTAACTTGTTGCCCAGACAGTATAGTGGTTAAGGATGCCTACTATGGTACCAAAGGGCCTGGGTTCGAATCCAAGAGAAGACATGGATGTTTGTAAATGTATAGTTTTGGCGTGGCATAGCGCACTCTAAATACGCAGCTAGCCTGAAAGTCCTCTCGTGTGGATTGGTGGACTCTTCCAAATGAAGGTGTTTTTTTTTAACTGCTAACATAACTGTACTGAATTTTGGCAATTTTCCGTAAATCTTTTGATTTTCAATACTGTGTTATTGTTAACGATGATGGATTATTAAACTGAAAATAAATAAATGAACTGAAAGAAATTTACATCTTAAAATAGATTGTAAGATCCTGAAAGGGGAGAAAAGAGATGATGTTGTATACTTATGTCTCTGCTTTTAGCGATTTTTTCCCCTTTACTGTTTTTCCATATTAACAGACTGTGTATAAAAAAAAATTATTATATATTTTATTTAATAAAATAGTTTTAATTAAATTCATTAAATTTAAAAAGATATTTTTTTCTATTATAATACTAATGGTTATACGTGATTAAAAATAAAAACCATGGAATACACAAACACACCGACAAAAAGCAATATAATGATAACATAGAATGCTATATACAAAAATGATTAAATTCAACTGAATTAAATTTCTCATCGAGAATTTTGACAAATATTCATCACTATCAGAAAACCAAGACTTTTTTAAATCACACATGATCAAAACTACTATGACAAATATATATGTATATATATATGTAAAATATAAAAAATAGGATGGCTTTGCTCTATGCGAACAAGCAACCTCTAATTAACTTTCCGCAATTTTAGGATCGCCAGCCTATTACGTGACCGCTTCTATAAATAGAGAACTTGCGCCATTTTGCATCAGTGAGACAGAGACCGCTTTCTTCCACTGCTATTAAGATCTATGCTGCTGCTTTCTCATCTGCCTCCCTTTGTTAGAATACTATGACGCATTGAATTTAATCCTATTTAGTAAAGAATTATAATATGCCTTTCAATTGAATAAAGATAGGGAGCTGTAAATTTAAAGCCTTCTGTGTCGTCATTTCATTGCCAAGCTTCATTCATGTGCCCGACTGCCAAAATATTACATACATATATTAATTTTAAAGCATTTAGTTTACACTATAGCTGCAAATCTGAAAATTGAGTTCTTAAGTGCTAATAATATTAATAAAAATACTATTTAAAAATTACCATTTTCCTTATAACCCATTCCCAAAATGACTTCAGGAGCTCTGTAATATCTGGTCACAACATATGGCGTCATCATGAAAGTGGTCCCTGCTGTTCGAGCTAGACCAAAGTCTAAAATTTTTAAAGTGCAATCTGCTTTTACAACTATGTTACTTGGTTTCAAATCCTAAAAAGGTTAAATAATACATTTATTGCAATTATTAGAAAAGCATTAGCAAGAAAATGGATTGAATCACATTTCAAGATATACATAAAACAAATATAACATTCAAGATAAAATTTAAATGAATATCTAACAAAACAAAATAGAATATATTTAGCTATGGGAGAAAAAACATATATTTAATGAGTAACTTCTACTTTAAACAGCATATATACAACTCACATAGCAAAAGAGATCATTGTCATGAAACCTACTGATTCAAAATTTTCTATAATTTATACATATGCCATGTTTAAATAAATCCTTGCCTGGGCTTTACACTTTCGCTATCATTGAATGTAGACCTGTACTTCCAATTTAAAAATGTTTCAAATGATGCAAATATTCATGATTTGATATTTTTTAATTTAAAGAAACAAATTTTGTAAGAATTATTAATTTATAACATTTGTATGTTCCTCCAAGTCCATATACTAAATAGTTAGGAAAATTTTTACTCGTTACATAAAGCAATAAATGGCGTTAATAAGAATTCCCAAACAGGTCAGGATGAAATAAATATTCGAGCCCTTTTAAAATACAAAAAGTTAGATTCCCATATAACCAAAAATGGCCAAGATATTTAATTTGTGTAAAAATTTGTGATTTTTGAAGTCATTTGCACCGAGGAGTCAGTTTATAAATAAAATAGAATAATTTGTGTTCAATTCCCCCCTTAAATGCTATTCAATAATATACTTTTTGTAATTTGCTAATATTTTTTAATTTACATATGGCATCTGAAAGAATTTACACAAAAGCTTTATTACTTTATAATCATACAAAAATTCATTAAATTTCATATATTTTTCAAGTTTAATTAATATAAATAATATTACAAGTTGGTTATGTGCCAATACTAAAGCCAGCACAAATTTCTTTTTCTTTTCCAGTAACAGGAAATATACCGACAAGGTATATAAAGGAAGTACTGTTATTTTTATGATTTCCGCTGGTTGGCCATTGGCTGAATAATGTCATAATGTTAATTATGTCCATATCTATTTTTAGAAGTTACATGACAAGTTTGGCAGCAAAGCAGCACCACATCAGTAGTGCCTTATGATTTTGCAAATAAGTGTATATAAATTACAAAAGCTTAATGCTATGTAACTGCAAATTACATTATTACAGTCGCCTTTGCATTAAAAAATATTTTGAATGAAAAAACAGATAATTTGGTAAGATTATTTCACTGCTTGAGATAAAAGCAATCAAACAGCAATAGCTTAAGACAAAGAAAATCCAATTAACATGAAAGAGTTACAATCATTTTGTTTTGGATTTACTACAAGGTAAGGTTAGGTTTTTAGAATGAAATTTTTTTTTTGTTGTTTTTTTACAAACATACTAATACCAAAATTTCATATTTTCATGAAATATTTCATCACATAAAACTCTGGCAACACATATTTCCAATTCTATACATAATTAATCATAAAAACTGACATAAAATTAAGATCATCCAATGATCAATATATAATTAACTACAGCTGATTTTATTCATCTTACTCTGTGAATTATCCCAGCTGAATGTAAATGTTTAATTCCACAAAGCATTTGATACAGGAGATAAGACATTCTTTCATGATCCAGATCCATTTGAATAACTTGGCACAAATTTGCATCCATAAGTTCCATAACAAGGTAACTGAAATATGAACTTTATTTTTTATGCAAGAAATAATTTTTAGAAAATAACATTATAACAGTAAGACTTAATACTGCTTGTTTCAAAATGAATATTTCATATTACTAATAAATTTTACGTATTATTAATACAGTCTTTATATGGGAAACTAACTGCTTTCAAATGAATACTGTGAAGAAGATTATTACACATTAATAGATTTTATTTGGTAACTTTATAACAATACAAGCCATTTGTAAACATAATTTTTTAAAAGAAAATATACTAAAGGCTTCAAATTTTTCCAAAAACCTTTTCACAATTTTTAGCATAAATTTAGGTATTTTGCATAATGAAACTCGAAAGGCATATGAAATGAACATGCGCCAAGGTATATATTGGCAAGAGAAAGTAAAGCTCGTGTGCAATGCAGTATATTTGATTTTCACCCTAGCTACTTGTACCTGGCCAAAGGTCTAATCCAGTAGTACTTTCTTCTCTTTCAGGTATGATGGCAAAGTATGTTCCTGTTTATTTTTCTTATTGCATAATATAGGTAAGCCTGATGATGATTCTATGTAAGTTATTCTTTTGAATACTTCAATTTTAATGTCCGTGAACATTATTACTTTTTGTTATGCTTAAGTTAAGCAGAATTATCCTATTTTATTAAATAAAGATTTCATAGTTAAAATTTTTGACTTATGATTCTTTAATTCTGTGCTTGAGGAAACGTACTCATTACACCTTCAGTGCTAATGCACAACCAACAAAAGATTATGAGACTGAGAAATTAAAATTTTGTAATGTTGTAAGATTCCAGGGGCATAAAGTGTTAAAACTCTTTGTTGAAAAAAAAAAAAAACTAGTTACAAAGTTTATAAGAATAATTGTAACAAGTAATAATGTCTATTCTAAAAGAATCAATTTGTATAGAAAAATTAACAGATGAAAATTATTCATTGTGGAAATTTAAAATAAAAACAACTTCTAATAAAAGAAGGTTTAGATGATGTTGTATTGAAGAAAAAACCGGAAACTGATACTGATATTTGGTTAAAGAATGATCGTAAAGCTAAAGCTTTAATATGCTTAAATATTTCGGATTCGCAAATTATCCATGTGTTACATAGTAAATCTGCAAAAGAAGTTTGGCAGAAGTTAAAAATGTGTCCATGAACGTGTAAATTTAACAAATAAGTTATTTCTTCTTAGAAAACTATATTCCATTAGATATAATGAAAGTTCTAAAATGCAGGAACATATCAAAGGAGTACTAGAGTTGGCTGAAAAGCTGCGTAGTATAGGTGAAGAAATTAAAGAAAATAACTTAATAGCAATACTACTATGTTCTTTACCAAATTCATACAACTCCTTAATAACTGCAATAGAAAGTAAATCGGAAGCTGAATTGTCGCTAGAATATGTTAAAAACAAACTAATAGATGAGTATTGTAGACGTGTGGAAACTAAGAAAGTTCAAAAGTACGATTCAGTTGCTTTAAAAAGTAAAAGCGAAAATAAACCAAAGTATGTTACACAATTTTGTACTTATTGTAAGAGAAATAACCATACGATAAATGACTGTTTTCATTTAAAACGCAACGCTAGAACTTCCCCGAAAACAGATGTAAATAATAGTAAAGTAAGAAATTATTCTCAAAATTATAAAAAGTAATGCATGCCAAATAGCAAATACGCAAAGTGTAGAAAACATAACAAAACTTAAAGAAAATAAGTATCTTAAAAGTATTGAAACTGAAAATATTCGCAGATTCAGTTTAATCAAGTTCTAAAAGTGGAAAATAAACATGATGAAAACACGCAAACGCAAGAATGGGTTATCGACTCAGGAGCCTCAACTCATATGACAAGAGATAAGAATTTTTTCTTTCAGTTAAATGACTAATAAACAAATAGTAACTGTAGCCAATGGTGCTAAATTAAATTCTTATGGTATTGGTGAAGGGTATTTTAAAGTTCAAAACTTAAAGGGTCAGGTTACACAAATAAAATTGGAAAATGTATTGTATGTACCAGGTTTAGATAGTAATTTACTTTCTGTTCAATCTGTTACCAATAAAGGTTGCATTGTTACATTTGATAGTAATAAGTGTTACATAAAGCGTAACAATATACTCGTAGCCGACGGCAACGCTCAGCAAGGTTTATATAAATTGATCGTAAACCCAATTGATGAGAAAGCATACTTAGCTAATAATGTTTCATGTTCAAATACGAACTGTATACTAAAATGGCATCAAAGATTAGGCCACAGAAATATAGATGCCATAAAAACACTTGAGAAAAATGATTTGGCAGACGGCATTAAACTTGGCAAATGCACTCATAGTGTGGAATGTTCTACTTGTGTAAAAGCGAAACTAACTGAAAACACCTTATCCCAAAACTAGTTTTAGATCTAAAAAAATCCACTGGATTTAGTGCACACAGATGTGTGTGGGCCAATTGAAGTCAACAGCTTAGGAGGGAAAAGATATTTCGTAACTTTCATTGATGACTATTCGCGTTATACTCAAATTTATTTTATTACTTCAAAAGATGAAGTATTCGACAAACTTAAACAGTATGTTGCATCGACAACAAATAAATTTAGAAAGAAAATAAAGGTTCTCAGATCCGACAACGGTACAGAATACTGTAACGAAAGTACTGAAAATTATTTAAAGAAACTCGGCATTTTTCACCACCAAACTTCGGTTCCTTATTGTCCGGCACACAGAACGCGCAGAAAGGAAAAAATCGCTCTTTAATAGAAATGACAAAAGCTATGCTAATAAACTCTAAATTACCGAAAGGATTCTGGGCTGAAGCAGCAGCTACTGCTGCATATCTTCAAAATAGGTTACCAACTAAAGCCACAGATAGAACACCATATGAATTGTGGAATGGTAGAAAACCAAACTTAAGTCACTTACGAGTATTTGGCTGTACAGCATTTTATTATGTGAACAAACAAAAACGGCGTAAATTCGACAACAGAGCTGAAGAAGGAATATTCGTAGGATACGATTTACGAAGTAAGGGATACAGGATTTATGTAGGTGGAAGAAAAATAATAGTAAGTAGAACTGTTAAATTTTCAGAAAACGCGTCTTTATTTACCTGACAAACTTGCAGAAAATAATGCTGAAGATTTAGAATTAATTCACTTCAATAACTCGCAAGAAGATGAAGAAAATAATGAAGAAACATCTCTTGGCGATGATTTTACAGAAGATTCAAAAAGTTCCGAAGAGTTAATTAAATGTGAAGAAAATGTAGAAAGAAGGGTTTCTAGCAGATCAACCAAAGGGGTCCCACCGGAAAGATTCTCTTATAAAGCAGAAGACGAAGAATCAATCTTACTTAAAATTAAAGATCCAGAAAGCTTTGAAGAAAATTCTAAACTTACCAAAACGTGAACAAGAAGCTTGGATCAAGGCTATGCAAGAAGAAATACATTCTCTAAAAGAAAATGAAACCTATAAACTTACAGAATTACCACCAGGAAAACATGCAGTAGGCAGCAAATGGGTGTTTAAGACAAAATATGATGAAACTGGTAAAAAATAAAATACAAAGCACGCTTAGTAGCCAAAGGATTTACTCAAAAATACGGCAGTGATTATGATGAAACTTTTTCACCAGTAGTGAAACACACTACGATAAGAGTTTTCTTAGCATGGGCAGCGTATAATAATGCCAAGGTACATCAACTAGATGTTTAAAACAGCTTTTTTGTATGGCAACTTAAATGAAGAAATATATATGGAACAACCAGAAGGATTCGTGGTTCCGGAAGAAAGACATAAAGTTTGTAAATTACAGAAGTCGATTTATGGTCTCAAACAAGCAGCTAGGTGCTGGAATGCAGAAATTGAAAATACACTGAAGAATCTGGGGTTCAGTCAAAGCAAAGCAGAGATCCGTGTCTTTTCACAAAAGTGGTTCGTGATAAAAGAATTAATTTAATAGTGTATGTTGATGACATCCTAATAAGTTCTACAGAAGAAGGACTAATTCTTCAAACAATTAATGATTTAAAGAAACGTTACCAAATAACGCATCTTGGTGAAGCTAAATATTTCTTAGGCATGGAAATAAATCGCAAGGAAGATGGAAGTTATCTCTTATCACAGAAAAATAAAATAAATCAACTTGTCAAGCAATTTCAACTTGAAGAAGCGAAACCCGCTAGCACACCAATGGAAACGAACTATTATAACCTAAACAAGGAAGAAAATCTCCTAACTTCAAATGATAAATTTCGCCAAGCTATTGGAAGTCTTTGTCTTGTATATATCGTCTATCACAAGACCAGATATCACAGCTTCAACTCACATACTCAGCAGAAGGTGTAATAATCCACGTCAAAAGGACTGGAATGCTGTTAAAAGAATCATTAGATACTTAAACACGACAAAGAACCTATCCTTACAAATTTCGTCGAGTGAAGAACCTAATATTACAGTTTATTCAGATAGAAAATCTACATCAGGAAGTGTTATTTTATTAGGAAGGAACGGTATTTCATGGTTTTCAAGAAAACAAACTTGTGTTTCTTTATCCTCAGCAGAAGCTGAATATGTTGCACTATCACAAGCTACGCAAGAACTATTATGGCTATTAAAATTAACAGAAGATTTCAATCTACCCCAAACTCTACCGATAAAGGTATTTGAAGATAATCAGTCTACTATAAGACTTGTAGAATCTGAAAAATTCAGTTCACGCACAAAACATATTGATACAAAAGTTCATCATATACGCGACTTGAATAACAAAGGAATAGTAAAACTTGCTTATCTTTCAACAGAGCAAATGATTGCTGATATTATGACTAAACCAATTCCTAAAGCTAAATTTCAGTTTTGCAGGAATGAATTACAATTGGTATGAGTTTCATTAGCAAAACAGGGGCAATGTTAGCATAAATTTAGGTATTTTGCATAATGAAACTCGAAAGGCATACGAAACGAACGTGCGCCAAGGTATATATTGGCGAGAGAAAGTAAAGC